TTTTTCAGCATCCAGCTTATGAGGTGAGTTTCCTTTCAGTAGGAACGGGTCTACGGCCACAATGCCGACCCGTTTAGTTAGCAGTAGTTCCGGACGTCGGTCCGATGCAGTAGTTCAGTGTGCTTGAGGTCTTTATGATTCAAGCATGTCTTTGTGTTATGTGTTCCGGACTTCGGTCCGATGCAGTATGCAGTATATGTGTTTAAGCCAGTAGTTGCGATTATGCTATGTTATGTTCAGTCAGTTTCGGACTTCGGTCTGATGCAGTTTCCGGACTTCGGTCCGATGCAGAGGGCAAGGCCCTGGTTAGTTCCGGACTTCGGTCCGATGCAGATTCCGGACTTCGGTCCGATGCAGAGGGCAAGGCCCTGGTTAGTTCCGGACTTCGGTCCGATGCAGTTTCCGGGCGTCGGTCCGATGCAGAGGGCAAGGCCCTGGTTAGTTCCAGACTTCGGTCCGATGCAGTTTCCAGACTTCGGTCCGATGCAGAGGGCACGGCTCTGGTTAGTTTCGGACTTCGGTCCGATGTAGTTTCCGGACTTTGGTCCGATGCAGTGGGCAAGGCCCAGTAGTTATTTTATATGTTATTATATGGTATGTGGTAGTTTGGGGGAACTCACTAAGCTTTGTGCTTACAGTTTTAGTTTTGGTTTCAGGTACTTCCGCTAGCAAGGGGAAGAGCTCGGGATGATGGCATGGCACACACCACAACTTCAGTTTATCCTGGGAGTTCACTCTGATAGTTTGATATGATTTGACACATTTTCTGATTTGATACATTGATTATAACTTTTTGAGATACACGTTCCATGATTTTATGATATGACATTTGATGTTGTGATTTTTAGTAATGTTGAAACAAAAATTTTTGGGTCGTATTTTTGGGTTGTTACAATATCGTACCCCTTTATTTGTTGGGTTTGACACGCCTAACATTTATAACACCTCATGTAATGTGGAGTAATAATGTTTTCTTACTCTAACACATTTGGAATTGGAAGTTGTGATGTTTTGGTTAAAACAAAGGATGAACTAAGACCAATTCCATGAAGTGTTTCTTGTCGGGAATCCACACTAAATTTTGAATATTTGTCTTAGCTCATATGTCAAGAAGTCAGTGGGAGTCTTATTGATCTTGAAAGTTTCAAGAGTCAATCGACAATAAAGCTTTTAGTTATCACTAGCACACGACCTGAGGTTGACAACCTATCGTGTTAAGTAGACACATTCTTGTTTTTGTGCATCTTCCAGTTGAGTTAGCAATACTTATGAGTTCTATGGTTCTCATTTGACTGCAAAAGACAAAGCACGTTGGTCAGTCAAAGTGCATTGATCAATATGGGTGAGCTGCTTAACAACACAAAAGCACTGGTAGGCCCTTGTGCTACCAGAGGGCAAGAAATTAAGAATAAGTGAGGTTCAGTTCATGAATGGAAAGCTAAATTTGAATTTGGTTTTGTCCTAAACCTTATCTTATGATTATAGGTTGGATTCACATGAATAGGAATGTATGCACCATAAAATCTAGGTGGCAAAAGGTTTCGCTCTAGTTTATGAGAATAGTTATGAGGAAACGCTTTTGCTAGTAGATTTTAAAGATCTGATAATGATCAACATGGTTACTGGTTATGCTAATTGCGTTCTCAAATTCATAATATGATTACGACATCCCTCTTCATATTTCGAATTGTGAGAAATGGCAAGGAGTTTTTTGAACTTTCAAGCCATATATCTATAAGTTTTGAAAGGATTTAAGGATTTAAACACACATGTAAGCTATCCAATGAAAGATGTATAAGCTTAATAAGTCTAGTTGGAGACTTATCGAAGCATCGCATATCAGAAATCTGCACTTTAGTAAGAAAAGTAAAAAATATTGATTTCTAGAAGTCCAGTTGATTTCTGGGTACATGTCAAAGCTAGTGGGAGAATAATTGTTATGCTAGTAGGACCACAATTGTTATGATAATTTTTGCAAGTTGGCAATACTTTTAGGAAATAAAGTTTTCAATTTGCAAGTTGCAAAGTTTGGGAGATGTTTCTCTATGATAGACTCAAGGGAGAGGGCATTCATACTTTGTTTCAAATCTAAAAGTTTAGATTGAAGGTTTTAATAGAACTTAGTCTTGGACATATATGAATATCATGTTGAAATGATTCAACATAGGAAATTTGATATATGAAAATATTATAGCAAGAGATACAAGGTCTTTATGTAATACATAATGAATTGATTCCCATGTGCTTCGGATATAGGATCGATTTCATATGCTATAATATTCAGTTGTTCTGATTTTTCCAGATGCCTTGGGCATTGAGAGGGAAAAAGGACTAGAACTTTGTGTGACTAAAGTTGTTAAACAGCTGTTAAGAATATTTTGAGGTTTACCAAAAGAATTGGTTGCTTGTAGACAGTTGAAAGTATAATATTGTTTGGAAGGACCATAGTGACATGTTTTTTGATTAGGATGATTCTTGGTCAAAATTGATGGTCATATGGGAATATGGAAATGTTTCCATAGTGGAAGTTGATTATTAAAACCTACATGAAAGTTGGAAAGTTTAATGCAAGAAATGTGTTCAAGGAGTGTACCTTGAATTTGAGACTTCATTACTATGATATTGTCTTCAGTAACAAAGTTCCAATGGAACGTTTTGTAATATCGTTGGCTAAGTCTCTGTGACTTTGAAGCCTCGGTATCACAGAAGGGCATTGCATGTAAGGTTGAAATTTTAACACGTTTTAGTAGTGACAAAAATTTGGAATTGTAAAATGAGCATCATTGGAATAGTGTCCAATCGATTTGTTCACAAATAAAGGACCATAGAGAGGCATAATATGCATGTTCATAACATGGCATGAATGATTTTTAATTCAAGTGGTTAGTTGATTACTCGAAAAATTATACAAGGAATAAAGTATAATTAATATGGTGATTAAATAATAAGAGTTTTATTTATATTCAATAGTTTTGAGACAATAGTTAATTATGTTATTATTGTGTTTCATTTTGCATGTTTTACTTCCTAAATAATTTGATTAGTCGAAATTCCACAGTCAATCATACTTTTGGAAGTAATTAGCGAATTAAGACTGTTATGAACTGGATTGTAGATTGTCTAAAGAGTTTTAGACATAGCAATAGTTTTGCTGCAATGTTCATGAGTACTTCATAATGAGGATTTTAAGTATTAGATAAACCCACGCTCAGATAATTACCTCATGAATTTTATCATGAGTAATTCTGAGACGATAATATCTTATATTCTTGAAACGAAGATATATCAGTTGTGGTTTACAAGTTAGTGCATTGATAATATGTAAATGCATTAGTAACTTGATGTTATAAAACGTATTTTTGTGCATAATTTGATGAGTAAATAGTGCAAGCATATAAGTCAAATTTATTTGTTCCTTTTGCCCTAACGGGAAAAGCGATATCTTTGGGCCCCTCGATGAATTGGTGTTGACTTATAAGTGCTAGGCCTAGCCAAGACTAAATTGATGTGTTCGATTAGAAGTCTTATGTCTTCATCACAAATCAGAAATCGGGAAACAAAACTTGTACAAAGAGATTGAATATAATCCGTGTCTCATGTCCTTACGATATCTTGTAGAACGGAGGGATATTTGATCACTTATCTTAGGACACTTAACTGACTGGGTCAGAGTTTGACAACAGCTTTTGGAAGCTACAATTTGTTGATCAGTTTAGAAGTTATACTGACAATTATAGTTATTAAACTTATCCAAGTGGGAGACTGTTGGATTAAGTGTCTAAGCTCATAACTAAAATTGGTATATACTTGAATTGATAGTAGCACAGTCCTTTTGGGTTGCCCTCAAACCTAGCAATTGAATATGATGACTTTTAGAGAGAGATAGAGAGAGATTAATTTATTATGTGAATAATAAATTAAATAAATGGTTTATTAATGTATTATGAAAATAATATATTAATTATAAATCATATCATTTAATTACTAATTAATCAGAAATTAATTGTAATTAATTAAAAGTACAAGCACTGTTTTGTTATTTGTTAATAGTTGAGAAAGGAAGGCTCTAGAACCCCTTGGAGGAGGTGGACGAAAATCTCTAGGGAATCCCTAGAAGATTTCGTCCATGGCCCCTTGGACAAGGGGTTATGGGCTACTTGGTCACCAAGCAAAGGATCCAAGGGATTTCCCTTTAACCCTAGCTTTGGCACCAAGTTTCCTCAACTATATAAGAAGTCCCAAGCCCCCTAATTTCATCCATGCATTCCCTCTAAGAGCCTTGGAAGAAATCTTGGCTCTCTTTTCCTCTCTCTATAGTTTTCCTCTTGCTAGTTTGGGTGTGATTCCATTAGAGGCACGCCACTAGTGGTGCTTGCTTCCAAGAGATCAACAAGTAGGTGTTCATTGTTATTTGCTACAATAACAATCAATGTATGTAATCCTTAACTATAATTTGGTATTTTCGAAAATAGCCTAGTGTTCTTAGGGGTTCCTTTTGATGTTCATAGTTATAGATTCAATAGAGAAAACATAGATCTTTATTAGGGTTGCATGCACACTTAAGAGTTTAAGTTTATTTGTTTTGCATAAAACCTATCAAATGAAAGGTATGGTGTTGACCTGGAGAAGAGAGAATGTGGATGTAGAGGTTGGCAATTGACATGAATTCCTTGTGTACATGCCATATGTGCCATATATTCTTTGAATTTTGATTCATAGGAATATGTTGCAAAGTGGTTTACTAAATTTGCATTTCTCAGGACATATAAGTATACCATACATCCCATGAATGATAGTACCTTGTGGCCCACATGCCTAATGTTCACCAGATACTACCTCATATTAGGAGGAGGTTACCTGGTAGGCCATGTGTGAAAAGAAAAAGAGAACAAGCAGAAAATGAACTCAGTGGGAATACAAGACATACTATAAGCAGGGTAGGTTTTCAACACAGATGTACAATTTGTAATGAAACTGGACACAACAAAGCTACATGTCCAATGAGGGGTCCTTCAGAAACAGGTCTAAGTAAGGCAAGAAAGAAGAGTAATGCAAAAAACTATCCTTCACAAGCAGGTCCAAGCACTCCAGCTCCAAGTACTCCAACACACGTGAATCAAGACCCTATGACTCAAGAGCCTGTGATTCAAGAGAATGTCCCTGTGAATCAAGAGCATGTGAATCAAGATCCTGTAAATGAAGTACCTGTCAACCAAGATCCCGTGAATCTAATACTTGTTAACCAAGTGCATGTGAATCTTGGTGTTAGAGTGCCTAAGAGTCTTGGTGTTAGAGCAAGTAAGCGTTCAGAGAGAATAAACAAGATACAAATCAGTAAGCAGGTTGTTCGAAAGGATGGCAAAGGAGTGACTGAGGACAACCGAGTTACTTTAGAATGATTAGGGTACAATTTGCGTGTTTTGTTGAACACCAGAAGCGAATATAGCAACATTAGAACCCAAAATTTAGAAAACACATACTTGAAAATAAAGTGCCTCCTAAACAGGTGTGCTGATCGACTTTGATGGGCGTTTGAGTTAAACGTTGTGTGCTTAGAAACGCATAAATGCACTGTAGATGGAAGCAGAGAAGAAGGGTTTATATAGATGTTGAGGCGTCACATGAGAAACGACGATAAAAAGGATTAATTCGACGTGATGATAAGTTGTGTCATTTTGAGGGTGGGTTACGTGGAGGCATTAGAACAGGCTAAATTGGTTCTAGGAGGCATGAAAAAAATAAGCCTTATATATATATATATATATATATATATATATATATATATATATAAAATGAATATGGTTATTTTGGTGATTATTCATAAACAAACATTGATAGGGGTAAAAAGCCTAATATTAAGGATCAAAATTGGAAGTATGAGTTTAGTTGAGGGATTAAAAATGCCAGTTCTATAAACACGAATATAAAGCGTTCTGGGCTTCCGTACCATCGAGTGAATCGGTTTCCCGGTTGGCTTTGCGACATTCTCCGATTCAGTGGACCTTCATCATCCTGCCGAAAGCCCCTCCACAAAATGAGGTAAATTGTTTGATGAGTTTTATTTCCTTCAAATTTTAGTACAAAAGCAGATTAGTTTTAGCCGATTGACATCCCTATTCAAATTTCCACTCCGTTGGAGTCAAAATTGTTGATAAAACCCTTTTACATGATTTCAAATTGGTGCCATATTTCCTCGAAATTATCGCAATGATGCAACATCAGTACATCGATCATTGCTTTTTACGACTCGTTCATTGGAATAAACAGGAGATTAGGTTATGAATTTGTCGAGTTCGAAGCTGACATGAACTTTATGACAATTTAGAGGAAGCATCATTGATCTATTGAGTCTGTATGTAGTTACAGATCTTAAAGCTTAGGGACTTGACTATGTCGCTAATCCAGGTTTATCGAGACATGGCAGATGTTTCATGTCAATGGCATGAACTTGAATGCAATCATAGCCTACTTCTGTATGCTTTATATCTTCATAAGTCCTCCATTGAGAAACTTAATATCAAATTGTTCTGACTACCTGACTTTTGTTAATTGCTTATGTTTACTTTTAACTTATGCAACTGTGTAGAAGCCATCCGGAGGTTCTTTGGGCTCAGAGGGCAGACAAAGTTTACCTGACCATAGCCCTAACCAATGCAAAAGACATTGCAGTTAAATGTGAGCCCCATGGATTATTCAACTTCTCTGCCATTGGAGCAAATGATGAAAACTATGAAGTCAGTTTGGAACTTTATGGAAACATCCTACCTGAGGTGATCACCAAGCTTTCTTAATCCCCATTTGTTTCATTTCTTAGAAGTTACTCCATCTCCCTTAGCTCCCTTTCTATATATGCATACATATTTAAATTTTTTCTAAATTTGTTCAACAGGGCTGCAAAACCCAAATGGGGTTGAGGAATATACTGTGCACTATTCAGAAAGAGGAGAAAGGTTGGTGGAAACGTCTCTTGAAATCTGATCAAAAACCTGCTCCGTATATAAAGGTTGATTGGAATAGATGGTGTGATGAGGATGAAGAATCAGTTAAAGGTAAGTTCATATATATATTGTTGTGCTTTTCGATCTTTATTCATTGTTTAAAATAAAGTTGTTTGTTTTAATAAACGTTAAAATATAAATGTTTTTGCACTTTGCAGGTAGTGATGATGACGACTTGAAGGTATGATCAGCTATCTCCCTAGCTAGTGTTTATTTTCTCACTTTAGAAAGAAAAAGTCAAGTTTAGATTTAGACCTTATGTAATTTAATCATAGTAAATGTTAACATTGCAAGAAAAGTGATTCTGTTTTATATTTTTATAGCAACTCATTAGATACTGGGACCCAATAACCGGACTTGAGCATCTAATAGTTCTGTTTATTATCCACTGCAGTATGCCAGTGATGATGATGGAAGCAGTGGCGATGACGGAATGCTATGTGAGTTAATAACAAAATATTTGAGCTGTTAAAAACATCATTGCTCCAAAAATAAAGTAAGCAACTGAAATGTTTTGGTCACAAATATCATTAAAATAAAGATATATTGTAAACAAAACGTTCTGGTTGCTTAGTAATATTTGTGACTCGTTTATGGCATTAATCCATATTTTATTTATCTACTTTCCATTTTCTTATAACAAAGTAAAAGATTATTTTTATAAATTGGTATGATTTTGTTTGTAGATCTTCCGGACTTGGAAAAGGTGAGAGGAATCTAGAGAGAGAGGATAAAACCTGAGAAGTAAGTTGGTGGCCAGAGCCAGAGCCCACTGCTTGTCAAATCACACTGTTTGTTGAGTTGAAGGTAGGATTTGTGGCTCCCTTTTGTGGCCTGGACTTTGACTTGGTCCACTTTCATACTTTTGCAACGTCTAGGCTTACAAATTACAATATCAATCAAACGTTATCCTGAAATTTAACCCCATATTATTGTGAGACTATTTTCCTCAAAAAATTTACTATTTACAAAACCTTCTCAAAAGCTTTTTACCATTGATAAGGCTCGAGCTTGGCTCGTGCTAGGGCTTGGCTTGTTTAAATTGATAGGGCTGGAGCTCGGATCGTGAATGATTGAACAGGCTATGGCTCAACTCGTTTAAAAGTAAAAAAATAAATAAAAGGACTCCTAAATGACACATTTTAGTAAATGTAAAAAAGTTGAGTCGGTTAAAACACTTTTCCATGATCATGCTCTCATTTTTGTGATTATCTCTATTGTGTGAAGTTTCTTATTTAATTATAACTAATAATCAAGCAAATAAAGGATAGCATAAATTACACGAATGGTCCTTATGATTTGGGATAATTTGCGAGTTTAGTGCCTAATCCTTTTTTTTTAACTCGGGCAGTCCCCATAGTATGTTTTTATTGCGTCTTTGGTCCCTCCCATATATAAAGACTTTTTTGCCCTTAATGTTTTGTTAACTCTTTTTAATTATTTGTTTATTATTTTTAAATTTTAAAATATAAAATAAATAAAAATACTCCCTCCCCTTTTTTTCCCCAACCCTTAAGATCTCTTCCCCGATGATCGCTATCAATTTTCCGACAAGAGACCCCACCCTATTGACTACCAAGTGAGCTTTCTTCCTCTCATCATCTCTTCAGACTTCTCCGTTCAAGAATCTCAAATGACAACCTCTTGCTGCCACAGTGCCACCCACTACCTTGCACCGTTTTGGATTTTCGACATCTATCATTATTCATTGTTCCTCTGAATATCCAACGTTTGAAACCTTGCAATGACACATCGAGGCCTCGGATGAACTCAACGATCACCCACTATGACTGACTCCATCGTTTGACAAAACTCACAGTAGAACACATGACTAAAGAATTTAGAAAATGTAGAAAAACCCCACAACTTGAACCCATAAAATATGCAACATAAAAAAACCCATAAAAACACCATTTGAATCCAGAAAACTTTCAACTTAACAAATCTACAAATTAAAACCAAAATGAAGATGAGAGTGTTAATCTGCAACTTGCATCTAGATTTTAGCCATTTAGGTCACCACGGTTAGAGAGGACGATTTATGTACCAATGTTTTGGAGTCCCAAATCATCAGGAAGTGGAAGAGGATTGAAGTCCATGATTTGGAACCTAGATCATCGCTGAAGAAGGGTGAGATGATCGAGTGGGAACGGAGAAAGCTTATCGGAGAAGAAGTGGAGAAAAAGTATAGGGAGAGGGGTGGTTGTCGGGGTTGGGGGTGTGTGGTACCGGTAGTGGTCACATGGTTTAGGACTTTTAGAGTTTGTCAATAAGAAGGGTAAATGGGGCCCATTTTATTTAGTTTCTAAAATTAATAACAAATAAATAATAAAAAATATTAAAAGAAATGATAAAGGTAAAAAAGTCTTTTATGTGTAAGGCCGGTCGGTGTCATATCATACCCATCATGCTTTTTAAGTGTCACATTATTTTTTACCACACCACATAAAATTGATAGGTATCATACCATTCTTTACCACACCCAACACAATACACATTTTTATGCAAGAAGTACAACATTTAAAGAAATGCATTTTTTTTCGGTGCGTCAAATCCATACCACAGACCAACTTCACTGCATTTCTTTTTTGCCCCTCGGTGCGGTGTTTACCGCATACTGCAGTATACCACGGTATGCGGTAAGAGGCGCACCACATTGTCTAATAGGGACCAAATGCACAACAAATTAAAGTTTAAAGGATCGTCTCAGTGAAAAAAAATTAGAGACTAAACACGCAAACTACCACAAACCACATAGACAATCCGTGTGATATGTTCTTGAAAAGTAACAACTATCATCACTTCCCCTCATCTACACAATACATTGCCTAATTCTCAATTTCTCACTTAATAACCAACAGTCAAAATAGACAATGCGGTGCGCAGAAGTTGACGAAGTAGTTGACGACTAAATAGGGATGGATGAGATATTTGATGACATAGTAGTTGACGAAGCACCTACCAATGTACCTTATAGCCAAGAAACTCAAAAAAAGTAATACTTTTGCTTTCTGTTGGGACGTATTTTGTTAGCACCACATGTTTTTACAGTGTAACACCTAGGGAAACTATTACATCCACTTTTATGCTTTGTTCAAATGTATAACCAATGGAAACTGTTATAATTACTTTTGTTCTGATAAATATTCAATGCTTTGTTCTACATGGACAAAGTTTGTGTTGTTTTATGTTTATTTATCAGATTCTGTTTTGCTACATGCATTTTGACACATATATTATGCTTACTAAAAGTGACCACATTTTGTTTTGCCAAAAAAGAACAAAACCATAATTCCATTCCATTAAAAAGTGATTACATTACATTAGATTCCATTCCATTCATAAGACAACACATTCCGTTCCATTAAAAAATGATTACATTACATATGATTCCATTCCATTCAAAATACTTTACAGTCATTCCGTTCAAAATACATTACATCAAATTCTGTTTAACCACATTACATCAAAAGACCACAAAAGACAAGAATTACATCAAAGCCCTTAATTAATAATCTTCCAAAAAAAGAACAAACACAAGAAAAAAAAACAACCAATTTCATTTCTTCGGTTTTTGTTGAAACTTGGACTTCATATCATCTTTAAATTTCGATTTCCACACTGCAATATTGTTTTCTACTTTTCTTCATGTTTTTTTTTTTTTGCTAATTTTCAACTTCTGAAATTCTAGAAGAGAGAATTTTGTACCACCAAATGGCAAGTACATGTTCAATCCACTCAAAAAGAAATCACACTTTGACCCACTTTTAGACAGATAATTTGGACACCTTAAAAACCTCCGTCTTGGGTTCAACATCGTCCAAGATGTTTCGTTTTCTTGAGGGTAAACCACAATCACACATAATACAAGGGTTGTAATGAGCTTGAACCTCCACATTAGGGTTGGAAAATAAGAACTTGATTACATTCTTGCATAAAATCGTTACATGGCTGCTAAAAATATGGAAATCACAATGTTGATCTTGGAAAACTTTTATGGTCGTTGAGGAGAGATGCGTTAGTTTTTGGACGCTGATATTCTAGTTAGGGCACCGAAAAATATCTATAAAGGGACCAAAGCAATGTTGCTTAAGACAAGTCATCATGCCAACGTGGCTACATAACCGGGAGAACAGGCTAAATCCGATTGAAATTATGTTTTAAACACAATAACAAAAAGTTCCTTATATTTTTACAACTTTTGTAAGTTTAATGGTATAATAAAAACACTTTTGGATAGCTGGTTACACTTATTTGTCATTTTCCCAATGTCTCATTTTGATCCTTTAACAATGTATCATAGGTAATGTTGGTTAAAATTTAGAATAGATGTTATAAAAGACCAACAAACTATTTCATTTTTCCATTTCTAGTCATTTAACCTGTTTTTATCCAATTTAATGAATTTTTCAAAATGGAGGTGATTCTTCCACATAATATACAATATCCTTGTAGTTATCATACAAATCAACAAAATATACATTTTGTCCCTTTGTAGTCCCTTTAACCAATTATTATATGTAATAACGGCTAAACTTTAGGAAAATGTTATAAATGACCAACAAATTATTTCATTTGTTCACTTGTAGTCACTCAAGTTCTTTTTATCCACTTTCAGGTAACAAACTTCCTAGCTTCATCTCATTTTAGCCACTTTAATTTAACCGGCAAATTAAAGTCTATAACACTTTAATTAAATCATTAAAAAATACCATGTAAGACGGTTAAAAACTATAGTCTAAAAAGAACTAATGATTTTTTTTAGAATTCTCATAATTGAAAATAAAACAAAATTAATTTAAAACTATAAACGGACAAATATAAATTTTTGTTGGTTCTTATTATATCTTTCTCTAAAGTTTAACCATGATTATCCATGGGTTAAAGAGATAAATAAAACAATTTTGGAAAGTTTATTAGCTAAAACATACTTCAATAAGTTAAGTGACTAAAAATAAAAAAAAATTGAATCATTTTCAGTTTTATTTTTACTTTTTAAAACTCCGACTAAAACTACAAACTTATTATAAAAATTATATAGAAGTTCAACCCAAACACTTAGTCTAATTAACAATACTATATTAAGGCCGTATGATTTAACTCAATCTCGAGTTTTAACAAGTTTGTCCGAAGACTTACTCCATTGGCAACCAGATGCTTGGTCGGTTGCCATAAAAGACATGAAAAAATAATCTAAAACCCACGACAGGTTTGTTCCACCAAACATCCTGTCGCCCTTTTCTTTTTTTTCTTTTTTATAATTCTTTTTAGTTAAACATTATTTTGTAATTAATTTCATTTTATTTTTATTAAAAGAAAGTACACAAAATATACTAAAATACATAAAATAATATTGATAGATTTTAAGATTTTTTAATATATTTTTTTATATTGCCTATATAATCTTAAAAAAAAGGATTATAAACTTAATAAAAGAAAATTAAAAAATTAGTTTATAAAATTGAATAAAATATAATAAAAAAATTATGTTATAAACTCATGTAACGCCCGTAGATCAGGGCTAGTCAATTTAGAGACGATAAACATCAAAAATGACTTTTTGATGGAAGATTATTTAGAAGGATTAATCTTAACTAAGTTATAGTATATGTTACAAGGATTCCGTACATATAAAGAACACCGAAATCCGAGTTATAACGAAGAAGTTATGACCTGTCGAAGTTTCGCGAAAGAACCGGCACGACACAGCGCGACGTAAATAGTGAATTTACGTTAGAGCGATATTTGGCCTTAGCAATCTAAATGAAAGTCGTAGAATACGTTAAACCGCGAGCGTGCATAAAAAGAACGTCTAAATCTGACTTCGTATGAGGAAGTTATGATTTTTCGAAGTTTCGGCTTAGCAGTGTACAGCCCGAAGTTCGAATATGAGATCGAGCGATATTTAGCCGAAACAATCTAAATGAGAATTGAAGATCTCATCATAGTAGTGCAACGACGGAAAGACAGACGAAACGGACTTCAGACGAAGGAGTTATGAGTTTATAGCGGAGTTTTCCCTGTCCCGGCCTACTAAAAATAATATAAAAATAATATAATAAAAATAAAGTCAAAATTAGCCGACGGAGTCTAAATGAAAGTTGTAGATCTTGTTTTTACCTACGCGTCGATATAAAGAACGTCGAAAGCGGAGTTCGTATACGAAATTTATGAATTTCTGAAGTTCGGGGCGCGAAACCCCAAATCTGTCAGAGACCACGACGTGGCATGGCTTCTGACGCCTTCTGGAGCCTGACAGAGCAAGTGGACGATGACGCATGCAATGACGACCAAGCCCACGACGTGGAAGAAGTGCCCACAATGTGGAAAATGAGAAATTTGCCCTATAAATAGAAATCAAGGGTCAGCCGAGTTTGGTTGCTCGTTCTCTCATCTCTCACCCGTATTGCATCTATTTACGTGCAAAGAAATACCCCCGAAGCCCCGATATCATCCCGAGACCCGAAGTGAGTCCCGACGCTCCGAAGATCCCGAGAAGAAAAGAGTTTCCGAGCCGAAGCTCTGTCCGCGAGAACCCGGTGTGGGAAGATATCCCGGTTTCACCGAAGAGTTACTACTTCTACAAGCCGTGTGCCGTCCGATCATCTTCTGATCAAGTGAGTGTGTAAGTTACTTTCTTCTAACACATAAATACGAAGTATTTGCTATGAATACGTGCTATGTGTTTATATATTGTTTGTTTATTTGAGATGGGTGGAATGAATGTTTTATATCGGTTTTTAAATGATTAAAGCTGTATGTGTATTTTATATCTACAAGATAAATGTTGGGTCGACATGGGTAATGAAATAGTTGGTGTGAGATGAAAGATTATGAGTGAACCCTGGCGACGATGTGACTTTCGTGCCTATAGATAAACCCGGGCGACGATGTGACTTCCGTGCCTATTAGATAAACCCTGGCGACAATGGGAGTTAGCGCCTGTTAAGTGAACCTTGGTGACTATGGAGTTAGTGCCTGTTACTGAACCTTGGTGACTATGGAGTTAGCGCCTGATAGCTATGGATTTAGTACCGATAGATAAACTTTGGCACATGGACTTTGTGCCAATTCCTTAGGTCAATCCTTAGGAACGAATGAATAAATGATAGTTGATTCTTAGGGTAAAACCTTAGAAATAAAGAAGATAATGGGGATGGTAATTGGGTTGATTGTTTGATGATTAAATATAATAATTAATTATTGTGGGTTGAAAACCCTATATGCTCACCAGGCTCCCAAGCCCTGACCCACTCATTTTTCTTTGCATTACAGTAATGGCACAAGAGTATAAGTTTGGTGGACCTTGACGAGAGATTTTGGATTATAGATCAAGTAGTTATAAATATTTGTTGTAAGGTCTATTTGATACTGTTTATGCTTTTTGGTCTGTATCGGAACATGACATCCCAGGTTTTATTATTCAATGATAAACATTTCTTTAAGAAGTGCTTTGATAAATTCTTATCATATTTTTTTTGGGAACAAATTCCGCATCAGTTTTTCTTTAAACGATTACTCTGATTTTAAAACAAAGCATAAACAAATCGGTTTTTTCTGGCCCGTGAAATTGGGGATGTCACAGTTGGTATCAAGCATTAGTTTAAGCAAACTAGGAATTTGTAGGATTTCTAGACTTAAACTTAGAATGCTTAAGCGATGATTGTGAGATGAGTGTCTACCATATTTTAAGACACGAGCACTAGTATATTTTAGGAAACTTGCCTAAAAGGCTTTTAGTGCCGAATGTTAATGTTTGTCATATATGATATTATTTGTTCGGATCTATGGTCTGTTGCCGACCAGATCTGGAAACTTATGTGTTTGGATTCTAAGCGTATGAATCGCGATTAGAACTAGCATGTAAACG